TAGGGTTTAGGGTTTAGGGTTTAGGGTTTAGGGTTTAGGGTTTGAGTGTGTGCAGCGCCCGACTGGAGCAGCGTTCCCCACATAACTTTGCTAACAGAAGACCCGCTGCTGTCTGGGTCTTTGTCTTTTAAACTACCAGCAGCACCAGAGAAGCTAACAGTAGGAAAGAAAGAAGGAGACAAGTGTCCCCTTGTGTGTCTCTCTGGCTCTGGCTTATCGCATAACCACTGCTACCTGCAGCTAGAGCAGCAGCAGCAGGAGGGGGAGACAGGAGAAGGAGACAGTGCAGCAGCTCTTTATGTTTTAGATGGAGCAGGAAATACTTTTGTTAATGGAAAAGAGACAGAAAAAGGAGAAAAAATTAAACTGCATTCTGGTGATAGAGTTGTGATAGGCCAGAACTATGTTTTCCTTGTTTTTATCCCATCAACAAAAACAGAAAAAGAAACAGAAACAGAAACAACAGAAGCAAAAGAAGGAGAAACATATAAAGCAAAAGGACAAACAAGAGAAGAACTCCTCTCTTACTTTACTTATGATGTATGCATGCAAGAGCTCGCATGCAACCAGGGGACTGTCTCCGGCATGGAGGAGACACAGCAGCAGATGCAAAAGGAGACAATGCAGCGAACGCAGTATAAGCAAAAACTACAAGAGGCGCAGCAAGCCCTACAGAAACAAAAAGAAGTAAATAAATAAATAAATAAATAACACGATAGAGTAAATAGATAATAATAAATAAAGGGATAGAAAGAAATAATAGAAAGAAACAAATTAAAAAAAAAACACAGCAGCAGATGCAAAAGGAGACACTGCAACAAACTCAATATAAAAAAAACTATAAGAGAGCTGACCCCGTGCTGCTGCTCATAAAACAGCAAAAGCAGCTACTACTCTTGCTGAATTTGCTGCTGAAACTGCTGCTGCTGCTGTAGCTGCTGCTGCTGCTGCTGTAGCTTCTGCTGCTCTTGCTGCTGCTGTTGTTGTAGCTGCTGCTGCTGCTGCCTGTACTGCTGCCTCACCTGCTACAGCTCCTGCTACTAAAGCTGTGCTACTGCTGCTGTTGCCGTTGCTGCTGCTGCTGCTGTTGCTGCTGCTGCTGCTGCTGTACTATAGGAGTACGAAGCTAAGCTGCAGGAGTTGCAGCAGCAAGCTGACGAGGGACAGCTGGCGCGGGCTCGTGAGGAGTTTATGTTGGAGCAGAAGAAGCTGGAGACAAGAAAGAGAGAAATAGAAATAGAAGAGCTGAAAAGGAGACAGGCAGAAGGAGACCTTCTCCAGCTTAACGAGCAACNAGAGAAATAGAAATAGAAGAGCTGAAAAGGAGACAGGCAGAAGGAGACCTTCTCCAGCTTAACGAGCAACTAACCAGAGTAATGTTTATTTTATATTTTCTGTCTCTGTCTCTCTCTCCTTCTCTTTCTCTGTCTCCTCTTCTTTGTCTTTCTTCTTCTGTTTTTCTGTCCCTGGGTTTTTGTCTCTTCTTCGCCTCTGTTTCTGTCTCCTCTCTTTGATGTTTTTATCTAGCAAATCCTTCTCGCTCCGACTACTGCTGCTGCTGCTGCAACTGCTGCTCTTGCTGCTGCTTATGCTGCTGCTGCTGCTGCTGCTGCTGCTGCTGCTGCTGCAGGTTCTTCCTTTGATCCGCGAGGCGAATCTGATAGCCAAGGAGCTGTCTCTTCCTTATGAGCTGCGGCCCCGGCTGCAGCTGGAGACAGCAGGAGGAGACAGAAGAAGAAGAAAAAGAACAACTCTAACTGTCTCCGTTTTCTTTAATGCTGTTGAGGTGTATGCGTGGCCAGCAGCAACCNAAAAAGAACAACTCTAACTGTCTCCGTTTTCTTTAATGCTGTTGAGGTGTATGCGTGGCCAGCAGCAACCTTAGAACTCAGGATCTTCATTATGAGAGAACTCTTTGATAAGTGGGTAGACGCAGAAGACAAACAAACATTTATAAAAGGTAATATAAATTAAATTAAATTAAATAATATAAATAATAATTACTACAATATAATTGTGTTATATTCTATTATATTGCATCAACTAGTATTGTATAATATATTATATTCTATTATATTATATAATGTAAATTAATTAAATAAAAGAAAGGAAAAAAAAACCAACCAAAAAAGATAGGAGATAGATCGGCAGTTGAAAATTATACAAATGTTAAACAAAATAAAGATGAAAAATAAAACGAAAAAACCCGGCGAATAGGATAAAATAAAACTAAAACGATAGAAAGACAGAAAGGAGAAAGAAAGCCCATATCCCTAAACCCTTTGTAATAAGGGCTTTAATTGCTGTGTGTGTGTAGTGTATATCGTATTGTTAAGTATATATGGGTTCGAAGGCTAGGGTTTAGGGTTTAGGGTTTAGGGTTTGCGTGCAGCGCTGCGGCCCGCCGATGACCCCTACTGGGACCCGCTGCCTGCCGAGTGCTACCTGGGCAGCGGCGAGCTGTACTTGAAGCCGCTCGCATCGCAGATAGAAAACGCAGCAAAAGTTAAACTCTTTGACTCCGAAAGCAAACATGTTGGAGAGGTAGGGTTTAGGGTTTAGGGTTTATTT